AACCGTTCTCCGATCCGCTAGAGGAACAACCGTTCTCGGATCCGCTAGATGAAGAACCGTTCTCGGATCCGCTAGATGGAGAACCGTTCTCGGATCCGCTAGAGGAACAACCGTTCTCGAACCCGCTGAATGGAGAAGCATCGGCAATCGACGACACACGCAGACGCGTCACCGAGCAGACGCCAGCGCCTTCTAAGACAATCACACCGAAGGTAGAAGGCAACGTCCGACTGATGGGCGGAAAGACGTCGGCAGAGGGAAACGTCGAGATCTTCCACATGGGGCGCTGGGGAGGCGTGTGCGACGACGAGTGGGACATGTCGGAGGCGACGGTCGTCTGCCGACAGCTCGGCTTCTCCGCCGCCGTCCGCGCGACGCACGACTCCGAGTACGGCATCGGCAAAAGTATGTAGCGAATACTATACTTATAGCTATATTGCATGCTATATATATTTATATATATATATGTATACTTGCTTATATATCTATATTGTGTGGATTAAATATTATATAAAATATAATATTATTATAAATACAATATAATATTAATTTAATTAACGTTTAGTTACGTAATCTGTTAATTACTCTGTGCTCACTAGCACAGGCACTATAATAATAATAATAATATACAACCAATTAATATTCGGCACTACAATAATAAAGGTAAGTGGTGAGCGAGGGACGGGCGACCGGCATGCGTACGTCGGTTACAGCTATCTGTTGTTCGGAGCTCTGCGTTCACTAACGATCTCTGTGTTCCCTGTTGGCACTATAATAATTAAACTATAAGTGAGCGAGCGACGAGCGACGGGCGTGCGTAGGCGGTTAAACATTATCAGCACGTATAGATCTATGCTCCCACTAGCACAGGCACGGACTATATATAGTACTAGCAGCTAGTATACCAGCACACACACACTGTACTAGTACTAGCAGTAGGTATACCAGCACACACACACTATACTAGTACTAGCACTATACTAGCACACACACACACACACACACACTGTACTAGTACTAGCACTATACTAGCTATAGTACCTAGCACTAATTACTATACAAGCACGCGCACTATACAAGCACGCACACTATAATAATAATATGTTCTAGAGCTAATAATACGTAATGTATAATTAGCTCTTGATATGTTGTATATGATTGTAGGTAATTGCTAACGATAATAGAAATAGTGTAGTGTGTCTGACTGTCTGTAGGCACGTAACTTGGGTCGTTTTAAAAATAAAATCATTGTAAATGAAGATTATTTCTATATACTGCCAAAGTCTCAACGTTTCTGTATTCGCTATCGAGCAATAATTCCAGGCAATGGCCGTTCAGAAAATTATTAAACGCTCTTTACCACATTTCTGTCGCCATTCTACCATAAAAAAAGGTTGATATTATATGATGTTAAGGCTCATGTTAAGGCTCATGTTAATTGGCTCATGTTAAAGGAATACTTGACTCTAGGTTCTAGGGTTATTTTCAGTTGATTTAGGTTAAAATTACGCTACATTAAAAATTTCATGGTTTAATCACCATTTTTTTATGTTTTAAAACTAACGACTACAGTTTGATTACAACGACGGTGGCGCCACTCAAAGCGCACGATCTGAAAAGTTGCGCAAACGGACTTTTCAGCCAAGGGCTACAGACCGAGGGTGTTTCTTATTTATTAATTTAAAAGCAGAAGGATTGCAATATCTTATAAACGACATATAGTTTCAGTTATAATATGGATAAATTTTTCCTAAAGTGAATATCGTTCGGTTAAATAGCATTTAGGTATAAATATAATTGCACTTTTGTGATTAGCCCTCGGCCTGTAACGTGCAAAATAAATTGGCTAGTACGCAACTTTTTCAGGGTGGCAGCACGGTCGCGGGTGTCATGTCAGCGCCCAAAAATGAAGATTTCGAAATTCAGTGTTGTTTTATGACAAACGTGAATGCGTAATTATAGATATCTATAGGTATGTGCTATTATTTATAAATCTACTATCATAATATACTCTCAAATTCTAGAGTAAAGTATTCCGTTTTTAAGTATTGAAAGACAACGAGAAAGAGCAATTATGTTTCTGACATACCGCTGATTGGTGGGCGGGGTAACCTGCTGTTACAGAGAGATTCTGGATGGATAATGTAATGTGCGAAGGGGACGAGCCTCTTCTGTCCGCCTGCCGCACGGACGGATGGGGAAGCCATGACTGCAACCTGAGAGAGTCTGCGGGGGTCGTGTGCATGATGGAGGCCAACACGCCACCAGCGCCTCCGCAGCGCCCGCTGGGGAAGCAGCCCAGAAAGAAACTAAAGGTGTGTGTGTGTGTGTGTGTGTGTGTGTGTGTGTGTGTGTGTGTGTGTGTGTGTGTGTGTGTGTGTGTGTGTGTGTGTGTGTGTGTGTGTGTGTGTGTGTGTGTGTGTGTGTGTGTGTGTGTGTGTGTGTGTGTAGTGTGTGTGTGTGTGTGTGTGTGTGTGTAGTAGTGTAGTAGTGTGTGTGT